TGGTACAGAGGAAATAGAAAAATCAAAAATATTTTTTTACTATAAGCTGCACAGTGAAAAAAAAAAAAGACTGTGGAGAAATATCACAAATATTTTGAGAGGGACTGGAACGTTTTCATGTTGTGTCTTGCTTTTGTGAAGAGAATTTTAGGTTCATTTGACTTCTGGCATTCATTAAGCATCTCTATACTGGAGCAGTAACCTATAAAGTCTTCTTGACTTCTATATTTGACACTCCTGGCAAGAGTGACAAAATGTACTTGCCAAATAATTATCTCCCATGGCAAGTCACTGAAGAGATGGAAAAACACTGAGAGAAATTATCATACCTTTTAGGACAGTCATCACGTTCACAGAACTTTTTTATAAATGGCAAAAAGTGGGAGTTTTAAAAAGGAAAACATATCTGTAAAATAGGTCAGACTATTTACAACAATATATGTTCTGTAATCTGTTGTGTGTATGTGAAGATGACTGGTATCTAAAATCTGTTGCCAAAATCTGCCCTTTCTGAGATCAGTCCTGGAAAATAAATCACAGAATTTGCTTTCTTTTGGTGAATTTCAATAGTGTTTTTTGCTCCTGGTAATGCAATGGTATTTTCCTACCATTTTGATGCATGAACAACAGTATTTCTTTACTTGGAAATTTAACTTTAAACATTGAGTTTGGTGTGGTTAATAAAGGGATTATAGTATGTATTTGTCTGCAACAGAGAGCTTTAAGCTCAGTAATAAAGGACTTTCTTACCGGTTTGGTGTTCTCAAATGAAGAATTCGGGAAGAAGTTAATAATTGACAGTGGGGGGCAAGGACAGCCTAGACTTTAGCCTGTCCCTCGGGTCAGTGAAGTGCGTGGCCTGGATGTGTTGTGCTGTGACCTGCTGGCCCCGGCAGCGCCCGGGAGCTGCTCCGCGCTCCCGCAGGGGCCGCAGGCTGCTGGGCCCTGGCGTGGCCACGGGCCAGGGACCCGTGCCAGGGCTCTGAGACTGGGGCAGGGCATCCACATGGCCACAGCATGGGGTCTGACATCCAGCTCATGGACCCAGGGGTTCAGAGGGAGGCGGCCCAGGTGGCTGCAGAGGAGGCAGCAGCTCTGTGCTCCTCCTCGCTCAGCGCTCTCTGCCATCCCAGGCTCTGTTCCTCTCTCTGCCCTGGGGCTCGACCTGTGCCTTTGTCCCTTTTCAATCTCCAGCTGTTCTGGAAAGCAAAATTCCATGAACCTGTAGTATTCTCCCATCTCCTCCCATCCCTACATACTTACCTTGTATATCCCTACACATCGACCTCCCTACACACTTTCCGTTCTTTCCCTGTGTTACCCCTAATGGTTGGATTCATTCCTCTTGGTAACTATACAGGTTAAGGAATTTCCTGACATTTACACCACTGGTCTTTCTGGAAGAAAAGCTCTTCCTACCCACAGGAGGTTGGCAGAAGCTCATAAGGTTGGGCTTTTCAATCTAGGACCGGTGGGAATGCTGTTAAAACACTGCTGTTTTTCAGCAGTGGGTTTCCTTCACAGCAAAACTGGGCTTTCAGGGTAGTTTTTCTGTGTTTTGTATGTACAAAAATATGCACATACAGAGTATATACAGAGAGAGGCTTAGCCAGTCCAGTGTGGAATTTTACTGGAGAGAACACGAAATAGTTTTTGCAGGCAGGGGAGCAGCCTGCTAGTGTGGTGCAGAATGCCTTCAGACGCTGGTGCTTCCAAATGCTTTTCTAACTTCACATCAGGCCTTATTCTTCCCTGTCCCAGCTGCCCCTGCCTGCTCCTTGGCTCTTTTATTGAGCAGGTAGAGGTTAAAAACTGCAGTGCAATCCCGCCTGCAAAATTCTGATCAATATGGTCATTTTGCTGTAAAAAAACATTTTCCCATTCTTAAATTAAGTCATATTCAGCATAAATTATGTCTGTTAATGTATATCTGGTATTCTGACTTCTTGTGTTTGCTTAACATTGATGCTGCAAATTAGATAAGAAAAATAATGGTACTACAGAGTGGATTTCTTTGTTGAAACCGAAGATTTTAATAGCATTGGAAATGGAAGGATGTTTTTACAAGAATAAGCTATATCTAATTGTAAGTTAAACCCTTGAAAGATGGTGAAATATTGTATGACAGGTATTCCTTTAAAATGAATCCTTTATTGCTTTTTACAGAGGTAGAGAGGAAGAAGGGACACAAAGAAGAGGAAAGGGTACAGACTGTAGTTTGTATGGTTGTCAGCAGTAACAGGAGGAGGAGGAGAACTGAGAATTCTGTACAATGAAGTGATAAAAGAAAAGGAAGATTTATTCAAGGTTGTACCAGTGTGTTTTATAAGCTAATAATAGTCTTATATTTGAACAGGAGACATCAAGATTAGATTTAATGAGAAACTTTCCCACTGAAAGGTTTGACAGTGGAGTGGTCTGTCAAAATGGTCGTTGAAGTATGATCACAAGACATGTTCAGGAAGAAATAAGATAAAACTCTCAAGTGAGTAGTGAGAGCAGAGATTAACTAGACCTGCTCATAGCCCTGGTGATACTTCTGGGCTTTGAATTTGTAAAAATTTGTGTAGTGGATTGTTTCATGCCATCTTCTCAGACTCTGTCCTTAAAAGTTGTTATCTCCCTTAAGCCTGTCCGACAAAAAAGGGCATAAATATATTTTTCCTACTCTTTCTTACTGAGATGAAGGTAAATGATGATCCTGATATTTCTTGTATTGCAAGAACTGATCAGGAAACTCAAGAGGTGTGTATGAGAGTTTGAAATTATTTCATTCTCCCTCTCTCTCTGAAATACCAAGTGGAATATTTGACATTGCAATTTTCTAATGCATAATGACAGATACTGCAATTACTGGGGACCCTGATTCCTAGTATCCCACTTTTTACTAGCTAGTAGAAGATGTAAGTGACAGCTTCTAGGGGTTTAATTTACTACTATCTCTTTCTACTACTCCATACTGCAACAGTAGCCCAGGTTGTTGAATGTGGTTGTGCTTTGCTATTTTTAAAATGAGTTTGTGTCTTTTGATGGGAACACTTTAAAATGAAACTGGAGAAGAGGAACTAAAAAACATCGTTGACCATATTTGTCTGCATCAATAGGGTCCCAAGGGTTACATTTCAAAATAACCTTTGCTTGTTTTTATGGTCCAAGATAGCTCAAACCCCTTTCAGAGCTGTTTCAGCCTTGCTTTGATCTATGGCTAGCTACTTAATTCACAAGAAGCTGTTCTCTTGAGAGAGAATTGATAGACTTGAAGGGTTGCTGTGGTTATGTTCAGTTTCTCCTGACCATATCTTTCAGTTTTGTTTGGGAAGGAGCAGCACAGCACCTGTGTGAGGATTGCCTTGCAGTGTCTTCCAGAGGGAAGTGGAGCCAGAATTTGAGCTGCCACGGTGGGTTTAGCAATTCAACTCTCTGTTCAGACTGCTGTAGAAAAGTCAAGAGAGCTGTTAGTCAAGAGAAAGGGGAATAAAAAGCACTGCAGCAGAACAGGAGCAATGTCAAATGCCATTGGAAGGACAGGATAGGCCACTGGGTTTACATTCACCATGGAAAGAAAGAAGATAAAAGGCAGAGGAGAAGGAGGATGGTGACTGGAGGTGTGCTTTACAAGATAACTATTTTATTGGAAAGGTTAATTGGGTATAAGACAATGTATCCAGTAAATTCTGCTTCCATACTTTGCTTATAGATAGTTTCAAAATTATATAGAAATTTTGATGATAGATTTAAAAGTCCTAGGGTATGTACTGTTGAGATCTATATTATGGGAATTCATGGACAGATTAGATATATTTTGGAGAAGGAGTATCTAGAGTCTGCGTTTGTTACAGGGATTGGAATTGCTCCAACTTTTCCCAAAAGACATTTCAAGGCATTTGGTTTTAGAGATTATTTCCTATAACTTCAGCAGAGATAGCCTCTGATCATATTTAAAAAAAAAAAAAAAATCTGCCAAGGCTTGCTGCATCCTGCAGTAAGAATGTTTGTATAGAAGCTCATTGAATACTTCTTCAAATTATTGCAATTGATTGGCCTTCAGGAAATAAAAAAAGGAGGAGAACAAAAGCTTTTTTGTTCTTTCTGAACAGATGTTGTACTAATTAGATGCATAATTTAAACATTTAATTGAGAAAAGGACTCCTTATGCTTAAATTATCAGAAACTGTCTAGAATTTGCATACAGTGACACTAGAGTTCATTGCAAGTCTTTTGAAATTCTGAACACACGTACAATTTTTTTACTAAGATTTACTTGCATCTCAAGCAAGTTCTAAAAGCTGTTAAAATGCCAAAATTCAGGCTATGCATAAAACATTCTTTTACTAGGTTTGCTTTATGATACAATCTTTAATGGATAACTGCACACCCTGTTTAAGCCAAAACCCAGCCCAGTTCAGAGCTCTGTTTTGCTGCAAAACATTTCACATTGTTCAGATTCTATCTTCTACGTGTGTCTACATGTATTCTCTCTTTGTCTTTTGGCTGCAATAAAGAGAGATGGAAAATAGATGGAATTCAGCTATAAAGGTACAATTAGGTGGAATGAGGGTCATAATGTGTTTGGTTTGTTGTATTTGATGAACATATCTCTATCCCTAAGAAGCTGAAGTTGCAACATTTTGTTTTTCTAACCATTCAATTAATCTAAGGCCTTATTTTAAGGGGATGTGCTGCAAAGAATTGGAGGGTGGAAGTCTGCTTCAAACTAAGTGCTTAAGGTCAGAACTGTTTAATTTTAAATTGTCTTCTCTGTATGACTGAACACATGACTAAGAGCAGCACTTTCTTAACAATAGATTCCAAATTGTGGATCTTTTTCTCAACTTGGGTGTCTTGCTGAGCTTAGCGAATATTGAAACAGCACCACACAACAAAACACTGGACACGTTAATGATATCTCCATTTACTGATCTACCCAAACAATTATGCTGAATATTTTTTCCATGTATAGAGGGCTTTTCCTCAGTAAAATGTTTTCTTTCCCTTTACAGATTTCAAGCATGTGTTTATTTTGCATCTGTCTTTCAAGCTATGTCATGTGGCATCCATTACTTAGCATCTGTGTTCATGGCTGTTACTCCTAACTTTGTATGTGGATTCCCTGGAAATGTGAGTAGTGTTCTTTTCCACAACTCCTCTGCATCAAGTATAGAGGACATCTGGACACTATGGACATCAACAGAAAACTACATTGTAGTCCAGCTGGCAAATGGAGAAATTTGGGAACTTGATCAATGCAGCAGGTCCAAACGAGAAGTCAGTTTGGATCTGGCATACGAATACCAAGGCAACAAGTCTGTATTTCCTTGTTCTGATGGATTTCTCTATGATGATACAAAGTGGAAGAGCACCGTTGTTACGCAGTGGGATCTGGTCTGTGACCGAGAATGGCTTGCAAAACTAATCCAGCCTATGTTCATGCTTGGAGTCTTGATTGGAGCAGTGATTTTTGGTGACATTGCTGACAGGTAAAGTGTCATCCTCTGAAAATTGTGGCTTCAGACTACAGTAACTCACGTGTGTCTACCTGTTTTTGTTGTTTCTGTTCATTGTGTATTCATAACTACACATCCAGGAGGTTTGGATATTGCTTTGTTGTTTCTATTCATTGTGTATTCATAACTACACATCCAGGAGGTTTGGATATTGCTTTATTCACAGATCTGTTTAACTTGGTTTCTTTTTCCTATAACAAGTTCTAATTTTAAAATGTATTCTCAAGTCATTTACTTTTAAAAGTTTTTCATACTTTGTCATCCATTGTTCCAGGCCTTGATCCCTGAAATTGCCCTGTGCAGCTGGAATTTGCCTTTAGATTTTTATTTATTTGTTTGTTTATTTACTTATTTTGACAGGAATAGCAATAGCTCATTGAAATAGCAATAGTAAAACCCGGGAGTAGATTTTCACCTCTTTTTTTTTTTTTTTTTTATTTAATATGACAAACAGCTGAAGGGCTACTAGAAGGCTCTGTCATGAGTACATCTCAATGGAGCTGATGCAAAGGCTCTGGAGGTTTAATCAAGCCCCACCTTCTTAAAATAAACACCCATATACTGTTTTTCCTTGCTGCCCAGTTGTAGGTTTCCCATGAAAAATTAGCTTAAACTTCAGTCTCTTGAAACGTTGTGAACATAAGAGGCAAAATGGGCGTGGGTGAGCTGTGCTGTAGCTGCACTCACCTACCAGCATGTACAAAGCTCTGTTTGAGCATCAGTCCTGGAGGGACTCGACCCGAGCAGTCTCTTGCTCACTGTTCCAAGGCCCATTCCCATCCAATGCTCCCTCCCTGGGTGTTATCTCAGACCATGCACTGAAACCCAGGATCAGAGCTGGACTCAGAAGCAACAGTGAGCCTCAGGCTGTGCATCTGTGGCCTCCTGCCTCAGCTGCTTTTCTCTCTCAACACGAACAGGCATATTCCTGCCTCAGAGAGCACCCAGCCATGCCTGTCTGTCCATATGAGAGCAAATGTCCAGGCTGAGTTGAACTTAGCTTTGTCTTGGGCACTTTTTCTGTACCTGTGCTTTGCTGTGAAGGCTGGTTTAGAGTTATTTATGTCTTTCTATAAAGGAGCCTGTTGATTGACAGTTTCTGCTGGGTGGAGAGTGATGTTTCATCCCACATCTAACAGTGTAAGCAGAAAAAGGAGATCAGGCGTGTTGTTTTCTGATTTTCCTTCATTATCACAACACTACAGTGTGACAGTCACAACATGGGAATGCAAAAGCAATGATGAACTTTTTCTTTTTAATTTGGCTTTTAGAACACATGGAATCAATCTGCCTCCCAATCCCAGGCTTTGTAAAACTATTTAATACAAAACCAGAATATAATGCCAACATCTGTTTTGAGTCCCTTTAAATAATTCATAACTTTATTAATTAATACTTGGACATGATTTATAAGGTTTGGATTGTATTGTTCTCATTTCCATTAATTCAACCCATGGACAACCAGTTAAGATAATACACACATTCTGAGTTGCAGATTTACAGCTGCAGAATTTACAGCTGCAAGTTATTATTTTCTGACACATCCTGGCTCATGGGAAATAAGCTTGTGTATCCCTCCCATTACCAATTAACAGATTTCCCAACAGAAGAGCTCTGATAGCTAAGACTTATTGGGATCTTTCCTGGCGGGGATCAAACACCAAATCATGACTTCAGGTCAAGGCTGGGAAAAAACAGGAGGAATTTTACTGGAGTACCAAATACTCACATTAAAAAAAAAACAGTCTGAAAGTCCTCAAACTCTCTGTCTAAAAGTACTATCTCCATTTGTGAAAAGCTGTTTGAGCAATGGAGGAGCTAATAAGAGACCAAGGAATTATCATTGGGGAAGAAAAATTATTCCACGCAGTTTGTGTTACAGAGCATTTGTAGATAGAATGTACTGAATTCCCAATAGGGTCTTGTATATGTACTGCTGTATCTAGTGTTTAACATGATTTTTTTTGCCATTAGTTTACTTTCTTCCTGGATTTCTGTGTTTTTATATGCATGCATATGTGCTGTCAGAAATCAAAAAATTATGGGGAACTGTGTGATTGTCATTTGTTAGAGAATTCAATTTTAAAGAACTGGACAAAGGTATGTTACAGAAAGCTTTCTTTAATGCCAAAATTGGTTGTTGCTTTGACAAAAGATGGCATGTGTTATCACAGTTAACTTTTGTCAGAAATTATTAACATGATGCTACTTAATATAAAATATCTGAAAAACTGATTTATGTTCTCATAAATAAGAGAATAAAATTATCAATCACTTACGCAGAAGTTAAAACTGGAGGTGAACATATGTAATGCCCACTGCACGTTGCTTCCAGCCAAGAATTGTGGAATGGAAGTTCCATTCATCCTTTTTCTTGGAAGCTGGAATTACTGACAAATTAATACAGGTAACTAAACCAGAATTTCGGCGGTGAGTTATTAACTTCCATCTAAGCTCCGTGGAGCTGCAGGTGTATTTGAATGGAATGTTTGTGGTTATTGATGATTTCATTCCTGCTGTGATTTGCAGACTGGGAAGACAGCGTGTTATATGGTTCACAAGTGCTGGTCAGTTTGTATTTGGCATCGCAGTGGCCTTCACGTTTGACTACTACAGTTTTGTGATTGCGCGCTTTCTCCTCGCTATGGTAAGAAAGGACGTTCGCCCCGGTCCTTTTCCATGTCATTTCTTACCCCTTCTCAGGAAAACCTCCCTTTTGTTATTATTTCCTCTCCTACTTCATTATTCTAAAGCCCCATCTGTTGCACTTATTTCAGCAGAGCAGGGAGAGTCTGAATGTTCTTGGACCACAGCAGTTTTCCTCTTTGAATTAATAGAAAGCGTCTGTATGAAGCAGTGTTTGGTACTTCCTCCATCCCAACCTCTGCTGGACTGGTAATTAAATACCAAGTGTGAGCAGCAAACTCTGGATTCTGCCTTGCAGCTGCTGTTGCATTTCTCCTTATTGTTAGAAATGGAATATATTTTTTTCTTGAACTAGCAAATCTATAATAAGTATTATTTTTATCTCTACCGTTTTGAGTGATGGAGGAGAGATGCACATTTTCTCTTCCATGCATCTCTTTGGTCTTTTAAGCTGTGTCTAGAATACTAAATATATAGGCAGATATGTTTAACACCTAGATGTTTTATACTGTACTTAAGGGTATTTCAGTATATGTGTTTATGCTGACCCACACACACAATTTTATGTGTGTGTGGTATACATCCAATATCTGACACATATTTAATATTTATACATAGTAACCAATTTTAAATAACTATTTTACAGCCCATAGTACATTCTTGAGCTTTTCACTACATAATGCATAAAGAAAATAGAATGCCGTCACAAAAAAAATCATCTAACTTATTTAACATGGGTTAGATATTTGAAAATATTCCCATAATTTATTTTGGTCCTGCTGACACTCAATACAGGACCTTGTACCTGGAGCTCCCTTTGCCTGAATTTCCTAGCAGGAAAAAACTGCATCATGTCCGCCTTGAACAGTGAGATCTACAGGAGTCCCTCTGCAGACTCCCTTGGCTGTTGATGCCAGGTTCTGTGGTAGTTTAGAAAAGCAAACAGCTCTGACCAGACTGATGCTGTAAGTTTTATCTGGCCACTGGGACTGATTTGCAAGGTGCAGTCCTAAACTCTAGCCCCGTGCCACTGTGGTCAGTGCAGCTTTCCTATTAGTGGGTTCAGAATTGGAGACTATTGACTGGAATATTGGTAACAGGAAAATTGATTAATCAAAACAATATACTGAAATATTTTCTAGTCTGTATTCTCTAGCTGTGTTTTGCAATGTTTTAAGACACCAGGAATTTGATGTTGAGTTATTTGAGAAATTGAAAAATATGTATATTCAATAATATATATATATTCAATGAAGAAATACTATTATGCAGAACATGCCAGTAATTGCATTCACTTGATGCCATATGAGAACCTGTAATTGTGTGTATATATGTGAGATTCTCTTCCAATGTTGTAAAAACTTTGATTTAATAAGATATTTTACAAGGGTTTGGAAGGTAATTGTTCGTAAATGTGCAGTTTTCTGACATGCAGGTTATTAATGGTCTGCTTAAAAGCCAAGATCAAGATTTTCAGAAGTGACAATTACTTCAGGGGACCTCTCTTTCCCAAGCATCCAGTTTGTGATGTCATTAAGGGACCTGATTTTTGGAGGAGAAGGGCTTAATGACATCAGCAAATTAAGTTTCTTCACAGGTGTCTCTTGCTGGCTGTCCCCCACTACAGAGAAGCATCCTAATTCACTTCCATTTTAAAATAGTGTCCATGCAGTCGGAAGGTTTGAGTGAATTTTTTCTGCAGCTGATTCGTTTTCATGGTTGCCTTTTTTTCTGTCAGTGTGAGACAGGCCAGCGCGGTGACAATTTAGCATACACAGATGTAGAACATTGTTAGCTCTTTGTTTTTACTGCTGGTGCACTGGGAGAGTGGAAACACATCTCACTCTGGTTTTTTTTTTTTCTTTTCTCTCTCCCACCCTCCCAGGTTTCAAGTGGCTATCTGGTTGTGGCTTTTGTTTATGTGACTGAATTTGTTGGCATTAAAGCACGAACCTGGGCTTCTATGCATGTCCATGCTTTTTTTGCTATGGGAATTATGATTGTGGCACTCGTGGGATTTTTGGTTCGGACCTGGTGGGTCTATCAGATATTTCTCTCCATAGCAACTCTTCCCTTTGTCTTGTGCTGCTGGATGCTCCCAGAAACACCTTTTTGGCTACTGTCAGAGGAAAGATATGAAGATGCACAAAAAGTGATTGATACAATGGCAAGATGGAATAAAGTCAGCACTCCCTGCAAAGTTTCTGAACTGTGCTCAGTCCAACAAGACGACCTAGCCAGTGGCAGAACGGGTGATGATGATACGTCCTCAGCAAAGAAGCACAACATCTTAGACCTGTTTTGTAATTGGCAAATTGCAAGAAGGACCATCACAGTCTGGCTGATCTGGTTCACTGGGAGCTTGGGGTACTACGTCTTCTCCCTCAGTTCTGTCAGTCTAGGAGGCAATGAATATTTAAATCTCTTTCTCATAGGTAAATATTCTTGTACCTTATTCTGTTAATGACAGAACTGGAACATAACATTTAAAAATGCCTATAGATTTGACAGCCAATTTTTTACTTTGTTCATTCAGTTGTGAACCTTGTTTGAAAAGTTTCATGCTAACTTTTCATAAAGTTGACTAACACAGTATCATTCACTCCAAATTTCACTGTACCTGAGGAAAAAAAAAATTAGAATTTGTTGGTGAACAGAATTCTTCTCTGTCTGTCTTTCTGATTGTAAAACCATATTCTGGCTTGTATGCTCTTTGCCTTGGAAATTTATAGCAGATCTGCACAAACACCAGGGGAAGCAGACAAGCAACACAAAATTCACACAGCTCTGTTAAAGGTACAAACTAGGAAAATGGGAGAAAAAATATTCCTTTTATCACTTACAGTCATGATATATTGAGTTTGTCTGTGTAGAAAACATAGTCATAATTGTCAGAAGGAAGAGTAATTTTCATTTTCTCAGAAGTGTATTTTTAATTAAATGGTAATACTCTTTTAATTTTATCATTCTGGCTGTAATCTTTCTCTGGCATGTAAGTTGTTTATAAAGACAGCTCAGTGCATTCAAGACCTGATCCAAAGTTTGTTAACATCAGTGGAAATATTCCACTGGCTTCAGAAGACTCTAGATCAGACTTGCAGCTCTGAGCCAGTGAAGAATTAAATCATGTGCTTTGCTTTGTGCAGCTGAGTACTCTCAGTGAAGTGAATGTGACTGATCGTGCACACAGGCTCACAGCAGGACTGGGGCTCTCATTATTGCAGTTTGTTTTGTCATGTGTTACAGTGTATTGTTAGACTGATGTGTTGAAGAGTGGGTGCTGGTATTGCACAGATAAATAAACTGCTATTGTACACTGTACCCACCTCTTCTAAAAATATTTTAGCAGACTAACACACACCGAATAATTACAACTTGCTTTTTCCAACACAACACCAAAATATTATTTCCTGATGTTACAGGTGTATTGACATGCTATATGTATTTAATAAAGGAATCCAGGCTGTTCAGGGCTGTATCTTATGTTCTTCCTTGATTTTACATTGGACATAATAGCATTCTTCCAGAGCAAATTGGCTTAAAACGTGTCCAAACTGGCTTTGGCTCAGTATTATTTGTCTAGGGGCAGATCATGTTTACACAGTGCAGACAGGTCTAGCCAAATGCCAGGACCTTTAGAGCAGCAGAAGTTTTTCTCTGGAAAGGAACATTAGGACAGGATGATCTGTATTACGACTGGGATGTTGTAAGCCCTCTTTTTTTAGGGAGAAGGGAGAAAGCTGGAACTGCACTCTGTATTAGTGGGGCTTACTCAGAAAACTGGATGTGGACAGACCTTTCTTGCCTTTTACTTTGAGATAATTTTGAGCTGATGCTGGGGGAGGCACCTGTGGCTACCATTCCCTGTCCAGATGGAAGCTGGCAAATCCTGAGAGGTGTATCAGTGTGACACTAGCAATATTCCCTGTGGGCACACTTGAGCTGTTAATGTGAAAATACCTCAAGGAGAAGAGCAGCAAGTGTAGAGCTTTCTGACAAAAGTGTCAGTGTCGTAGAAACAGAACTGTGGCCTTGCTCTTTTCTGTAATTTTCCACCCCAAAGAGAACGGGAGCTGCTCTCTGCTGTGAAACTTGTTTCCCTTGTCCTTCTCCACTCCCACTTCTGTATTTTAGGCTGTTCTCTGCCTTCTGTCACACTTTCTGTAACCAAATGAACTAGCCCAACACACTGGTTATCTTTAGACTTTACTTGTTTACTAGCCCGTAGATCAGATAAATTCCTCATAAAGAGGAAGTTACAGTTATGAGATGAATATGTGCAATTATGACTTAAACTGAGATAATTTCATACTGACAGGTGCTGTGGAGTTGCCTTGCTATATCATTGCTTGCGTTGCGATGGACAAACTGGGAAGGAGAAACACACTCATTCCGTTCCTTATTTTAAGTGCACTGATCTGTGTTTTAATTATGTTCATACCTCAGGTTAGTCACGTATGGTTGGAAGTGTTCCTTCAGCAGAAATTGATTTTAAAGGCTCTTAAGTCAGTAGATGCAGCTGCTCTTTCTAAATCATAGAATAGTTAATTAAAGGCTGGTTTTAAGTTGCAGCTGCCAGTCTAAGATAGATTTCTGTATTTTCAGTACAAGTTTCAATGTCATTGCTGGAGTCACATATAAACGCTCCCAGAGCTTCAGTGAACCAGGACTGGTAAAAAGTGATGTGGAAACTAGTAACTTACTGAGCAATTTTAAAAAGAAAGCAATGAGTATTGCTTATTGTTTGAAGGGTCACAACTTTTGAAGAATGTAAATTATGTTTGGAAGGGTGATATAATTTTCTGGTGATATATTTATTTGTGCTCTCTTTCAATAGGATTTCAATATATTAATTATCTTAGCAAATATGGCTGGAAAATTTTCCATAGGTGTGGCATTTGGCCTTATATATCTCTACACGGCAGAACTGTACCCAACAATAGTAAGGTAAGAACTTTTGCCAGTCATGTCTTTTTCATTAATTAATTAATTTTCATTAATTAATTTGTTATTCTATACAAGATCCAGCAGCTCTTGGCATCACTGGTGGTGATCTGAAAGACTTGGGATGGGATGAGTTCTTCAGCTGCCTCAGAGCTGTGTGGAGTTTGGCTGTACCATAGTTCTTTATTTATTTTGCATTCCATGTGCATTGATAGGTTCCATTGCGGAACTAGAAGACTACCCAATACTTTCTTAAACATTTTTTATGTCTTTCTTATAAGTCCTGGTTATTCATCCCGTGATCTGTGCTGAATGAGAATTATATTTTTAATCTTAATTACCGAAGCAGCTGAATTTCACTACGATATAAATTTACATTGGCATAGCAACAGCTTCTTAGTAGAATTGCTTAAAGACACGAATCTTACTGATGTTTTAAGCGTCTGTGCGTTTCTAATTGTTTCCTTTAACGGCCAGAATTCTTACTCAAATTCTTTTCTGTGTAGATCACTTGCTGTTGGAAGTGGAAGCATGATGTGCCGTGTAGGAAGTGTGGTTGCTCCTTTCTGTGTCTATCTGAGAAGTATCTGGATTTTCATGCCACTTGTAGGTATTTATTTCAATGGTGAATGGTTTTGGAAAAGGCATATGTGTGACTTTCTTTCCTCTTTAGTAACTTACTAAGTATGTTTTTCCTGTGACAAAGGAACCAAAAGCTGAACATGTATTTCAAAAAGAAAATCGAGTAAACCATTCTAGTTTGAAATTTTCAAGTCCCAAAGACTAGTAGCCTCATATTGTTAAAAATATGCTGCTAAAGAAAAAGAGAGACTTTGAATCATTAAAATACTCAGAAAAGTTTTTGTGATGCAAGACAGAAAAATATTTATGCTCTGAATCCCAGCATAAAATTGATAAAGATATTCTGCATTTACCATGTAACATTTAGGAAGTATCATAGTCCAGACTTTTTTGAAGGCCCAGCAGTTTTTGACCATGCTCCTGATTTAGTTTCACTTTTTTGCAAAGGCATAGTTCTTCCATTCCTGAAGTCACCACAGGTAGCTGGATTTTTTTTAAATCATGCCTTAACATTTTCCACAGCTTCTTTGGGATGCATCTTTGGAATAGCCTCCCAAAATATCAAGGTGTTATGCTTACTGTATTTGTTCTCCACACCTGTCCCAAAGCTCCTGTTGTGTGTTTTTCACCAGAACAGAATGAAACAATTAATGAGACAAGCAGCAGACCCAGGTCAGGTTGCCATTACGTTTTGTCTTTTACCACCAGTTGCCCCAAAAAAGAGAGGTGGGACCATTCCTTTTTGTACTTTGGGCATTATGCAGTAGATCCACTTTGGACAAAATACTTTATGTGTTCCCTGCTCACACATGAATCACATTTCTTCATTACATTTCTGTTATGAAGCATTTCCTGCTTAGAAATCCTGCAGCAATTCAATCCATTTTTTCTCCTGAAGGATAAATTATGCCTATATATGTAAAACCGGATGAATTACAAAATCTGTATTTAAGCTTTAAGTAAAGAAATGTTTATTAATGATTTAAAATAGTTTAAATTCTTTCAAAAACCCCTTAGAATTCACTGTGACTAGGTCACTGCTGTTATATGTAGATTATACATGTCAGAAATTGAAAGTGTAATGGGATGTGTCTTTAACCTGGATTCTCTAGTCAAATTTTATCCACCATAGTGGAGTTTCCTAAACAAGGACATTGTGTCCCTTTGATTTGGCAACTAAAAAAATCTTTATTTATAGATTGTTTCAGAGAATTATTGTGAGCTCATTTAATTATTTAAATTAATTACTTTTGGTTGTCTTCGATGAAAACTACCAAGGATGGATGAAGGAGACCACAAATTAATTTATTTCTTCCAGTTCCTAAAAATGTTTTCTTTCTTAACAACGTCTCCATCAAGATATGATCCCAGGAAAGACAAAGAAACATTTGCACAGCAGAGTGGTCATGGGAGAACATTTCTCTTTTCCTCTTGTCAGCATTTTGCCTTTACTGTCTGAAATAAGACTTATCTGTGCAGAAGTGCTGCAGTTAAACCACAGCTGGGGGAGTGCTCAGATGTTTTGGAGAGCAGTGCAAATGGCAATATAAACACAGGAATTATTTCAGCTATGAACAACTCTCAGGGTACAAAAGTTATCCAGAGTTTTTGTAGAGTTGAGTAGTAGTTCACAGTGAACGTTTCCATTATTAGCTCCTGTTATAGAGCATTTGTCAGTTTATTAAATAGGCTTGCCTTGAGTTGGAGCATAGCTTGCCAAGTCTCAGGTCAAGTAAGTGTTTTGGAATGGAAGTGAAATCAAATGGATTACATTTGTAAGTAAACTGATACAGATCACCCTGCTCTATTGCAAACACCACACACTGTTGAACAGTTACTACTGCTGTTTGTTTGGCACTCTGCCTCATGCACAGCTATGCCACCTGTGAGTACTGCAAGCATCTTGAGTGCCTATAAATCTTCAATAAGTCTATAAATTGAATAACTTGCCAAGTATGTTTTTCATGTGACAACTTTATAGAAAATGTGCAGTAAAACAACTGCTCCTTATACAACCTATTTCTGTTTCGCAGCTGTTAAGAATTATGTTGCAATAGCTCTTTAACAGGGTTGATTTTTCTCTCAGAAAAAACATAAATTAGAAATTTGAAAAACCCACACTGATGTTAATAAATAACAAACCCTCTGTCAAATACTATTGGTTTTTCATGTCGAAATATAACCTTTTTTGTTGAAGTAGGAATTTTGTCGATAAGATCACATTTTAGATTGGATTAGAGCCATCAGATGTGAATATAAATATAAATATGAATATAAATATAAATAGCAGACTATAATAATAATTTGTTCTCAGAAGTAAAGGCATTATTTTGTAGGTATATTTAATTCAAATTATCTTTTGTTCTGGAGTATATATATATCAAGTTCTAGTCTTAGATCACTGCAGAATTATAAATGTTGCTCCAGAAAAGGAAGAGGACATAAGAAAAATTATGATAAATATTTTCTGAAGGTTTCTATGGTATCTGTTAGAAGTTGCTGGTTGTACTGAAGTGTTGGGAACACTCTAAGAATTTGACTAAGCAAAAAGTCAGATTTCAAATTAATACCCTGAAAATACAATACATTTAACCATGTATATCTTTCAAATTAACTTCAACATACTTAAACGTACTTAAATACCTTGTACAATAACACAAATACACTTTATTTGTACACATAAGCATTTGACCGTATCAGAACATTTTCTGATACTGAATTGTGTATTTAAAATAGTAAATACATACATACAAAATGGATACATTTGTAGTGCGCAAGCAAAGGGTTAAATTATGTCAGATGACTTATGAAGAAGTGTGCCAAGACTGCAAAAGAGCTGCTTTTACTAAATGTGAGTCCCTTCATTGATAACTGTGGCTACTGCCCTTGAAAAGGTAGATGTCCTTGAATTAATACACTGTGACTTAATTATTTCATACTCTGTCTGTTGTAGGAAATACTGGAAAAGGGTTCGAGCGTCAGGGAGGGAAATGTACTCAATTACTCAGCATGCAGCAGCTTTCACATAGAGAAGGAAAAAAAAAAGGAAACTATCATGGGATGAAATAGAGTTATGAGAGCTGAGATGAAAAGGCAGGAAGGATGGTGGTGTGTACACTTACAGAATAGTGAGAGTTCTCAGGGGAATGAGAGGTAGGTTCATGAGGAGGGAAAACATGAGAAGAATGCCAAGTGTCTAAAAAGAATAACGAAAAGAGAAAAGACACGCATATTCAAAGCATACAGTGTTACTTTAAGCTTGTTCTTTTGAGTATCACTAGTGACCCAGTTCTCATACACTCCAAATTTATGGGTGTCCCTAAGATTCAATATCCTTTACAGACCCCAATATCCTCAGTTATAAACTTCTGACAGACTAAAGGGTGTACATAAAAGAGGATATTGTGGAATAGCTGCCATGTGTCAATTTATCCTGTCTTTCCATGGCAGAAAATCATGTCTGAATAGTAGAGAAGAAATTTGACACTCAGAGATGAGATTTTATTATTTTGGAATGTATTTTTAAGTATCACTCTTGCCACATACATGTCTAAAAGGATCTCACTCAATTTGTGCCATTTCCTCTAGTCCTGTTACTGCTAAGATTTTAAAACTTTTTTTAACTTTCATGGTAAGACCATTACTTTTATTTTCACTGTAGTTTGTAGTATTTAACAGTATTTTTTTTTGTCTGGCTCTATATTTATTGCAAATACAAAAAGGAGGGTATGCAACAGTGCATTTTGCTTCTCAAAAGAATACATGAAACAAACTGTCCTTTTTTTTGGAAGGGAAGAGAAGCAAAACCAGCATGGTGCATGGACAGGCAAATAGCACTGTTCAAGGTTATTCTGATTTTAAAGCACCTTTCTGACTTAAAGTCTGGCTTAGCTGCAGATGGTAGCTGGGCAGCTCTTGTCTCAAGCTCTGTGTGAGAGACATAGGCACAGTGATTTCAAATGTTCTCTCTCACCCTTGGAAAGAATGCATTAAACAAAGGACAGACTTCAGAATCAGCACAGGGCAAGATAAAGATAATACAGCATCAAAGTTCACAGTCACAGAATGGAAAAACACTGAGACCAGGCATGATGTTCTGTGTGAAAGCTTTTCTATCAGGAGGGAATTAGGTCATTTATAACCTGGTGTTGGAGGACTGTCAGGGGTTTAATGCTGTTCTGTACTCAGAGGAGCAAAGTGGGAATTGTTGTCATTGAACAAGACATAGAAATGTCTGTGTGAAGGGAATGTGAATGGAAAGTGTAGATATTCCTGGAACAAGGGAGTATTTCTCTACTGACCCCACATCCTGATCCTTGCACCACTTATGCTGCTGATGTGGAATTGTGTACACCATGGACAAATCCAAAATCCAGTGATCCCAGTGCAAATGGCAGTAGATGCCTGCACTCCTGACAGTTCTTTGAAACTGAATTTAGCAAAGTATTCCTGTTGAGAGTTAGCAGATGCTGACGAGCTCTCCTGAGCACAGATGTGCACTTCTGTGGCTCTGGGCCAATGAGCCATATTGAGAAATTCCAATCTGGCTGTGTGGAGAAGGAACAAGCACACAGGTACAGGTACACAGGAGCTGGAGTGTGAACTGAGATTACAGGCGGCAGGGAAATTGTAGCTCTGCAAACATGCCTGTAAAAAAAATGTATGCAATCCTAGAATCAGTTCTTAAATACACTCCTGATGCTGAAATGCTGAATGAAGGTAATATGTGTTGTTTACTCAAACAGAATTATTCCTGCTTGCACTGTACTGATCCCTTGTGAATAAAACACTTCACTTGCTCATTCATTAATTCTGCTGCATAATCTTTTCATTTATGCAACAAAAAAGGTAGATCTTTTATACAGGCAACATTTCAGAATTATGATCTTTGCTTTGCAGTTCTTTGTGCTTTATTTTAGATTTACTTTCAAGCAAGATCAAAACTATTGTTAGCTTGAAAGACTTATTTACCTTTACAGCTACTGTTTATTTCTTCCAGTTGCTTGTTGGAATCATGGCTCTTCTGAGTGGAATCTTAACCATAATGCTTCCAGAAACACTGGGAAAACCATTGACTAATACTTTGGTGGAAGCTACAGAAATGGGAAGAAACAAGAAAAGCTGTTCAGAAAAGACTCCTCCTCCAGCACATAGTGGTGCAGCATTAGAAAAGATAGAGATGTTTGGTCAAGAAAGAGTCAGCACTGACAAATAAAGCAGTAGCAAAATGGCTGTTCCCAATTTTAATCACTATCTAATTTATATGATCTGTGTATTCAAGAAATGTGACTGTTCTATAACATCTGTGCCTTTTACTTTGTATTCTGTCTTCCCTTTTCAATAGAGCAATTGTATGAAACCTTTTCAAAGTGACTGACTTACTGCAGAAAATTTGATAGGATTTCTAGATCCCTTATCTAACTTACCCAGACTTTAAAACACCTGTCTGACTTGCTGTGACCAGTTGGAATGATTTCTCTAAATGTCGGAACCTACCTGATTACATGTATGTAAAAAAAAAAGCCAATTCTTTGCTTCACATTTTCTGCAGTTAGATTTGTCAACCTACAACAAAGTGCCCTGCCTGGTCTCTTCCTGTTGCAGCTGTCAGTTACAGGCTTGAGACTTCAGAACACAGTAAACTCCGCTACAATTCAAGAGAAAATTCAAGAATATCATTGCATCAGGTCATGTCAGTAATTTTAAAGTAATTTATTCTTTTTCTTTTTCTTTCAAGTTTTCTACTAGAAATGGTGCCATTGCTAACAAAAGGAAAGTATTCTATGGCACAGCTTCTGACTGAAAAAATAATACTAAGTTTGCAAAATGTGCAAATAGTTTGTATATTCATTCTGTTGAATGGCAAGTGTATTTTTATTAGGGGTTTAGGAATAAAAAAAGTTCACTGGATCTACTGCTGTTTTAGTTTAGATTAAACCAAACTGCCTGATCCCATTTAAAGTCATATTCATTCCAGACTATTATTTCAGTGCACCCTTTCTCACTTATTTAAGATTAGATCTAGCATCAGATTTTTCATAACTTCTAAGAGCTAGACTAGAACATTGCCAAATGCCTCCAGCAAGGTCTTCGTAGTCCTCAGTGGAAAAGAATAAATGGCATATGGCTTTTATTCAGGCTCTCTGCAGAGAAGTGGATTTAGTTATTCATTTTTGGTAGAAACGGTTTCCACTCACCATTTTTCTCCTAGATTAGATGTCTGTAATTCATTTTTTCCTTATTATATCTAACCAGTTAGAAATATAGAATTTCAAAGACGGTAGTTTTAGTCAAAGTGTCAAAACATCCCACTGCTGCTACACCTCATGTGCATCAACACTTATTGTTGGTGCAATGGTTCTGCCTTATGACTCTGGACCATAGAAAACTGATAGATAGGAATGCATCATTCTGGCTGTTTCTTTTATGGCTTTCTCCCACCTCTCCTTTTTCAGTCTATCTCTAGACCTCTCTTCCTTGTCTGAGGATCTGCATCTCCGTTGCTTGACCACCCTTGGATTGAGGGGAGCAGCACAGGAACATCTGCTGTTGAGGTTCAGACAGCCCTCTCTTGCCTGGGTTGTGTGAATTCAGTCCTCCCTGGTTTGAAATCAGTGTTTTTCCCTCTTAGGGCCCTATTCTCATGGCATGATCTCATCAAAACAAGTCTTCCTTGATCTTTGCCATGTACCCAGCCCAAAAGAAATCTATATTAGTAGATATTCTATATGCTGTAGAAATTAATGGCTACATTTTTTAAATTATATTTGCACAATTTTATTAGTTTCAATGATTTCTGAAACCAGAATAATGGTTTATATCCCCTTATAAAAGATTTTATTCTTCACTGCACTGTCCTAGAATTTGGTCCTGGTATTAGGAGAAAATAATACCTATATGAGGATCAACATGCTCTGAAGCATGCTCTGAAGCAAAATCAGTAAATTTAAGTTTAGGGAGTCTCTCTGAGATAATTACATAGAAAGCAGAAAGGAGTCTTCATGCTTCTTACAGTTCTGTGGGTGTTCCAGTGTTTGCAGGGAAAACCTCCAGAAAGACCTGCATAGAATACTGTGGCTTCTGGCCAGATATGAGTTCAGCAAAAGCACTTAACCTTCCCCCTGTGAGTAATCCCATCATTATTCTGAGAATGACTTGAATACATACTTTGATGACTGAAGATCAGATTACTCACATGCTGTGGTTTTTTATTTTGCTGAAGAGCAAACCCAGTATTCTTCCACTGCTTTCAGGTCCCGCTCCACTTCCCAGAGCAGAGCAGCTCTCTTTATCTGCAAGATCTACTGCCAAACTCTTCCTGCCCTGCCTTAAATAAGGGTTTAATCATGCTAAAAAAACCACCACCATGCAATACACATAACAAGGAATTAAACTAGTACTGTCTTGCCTTACAACCACCCTCCCCACACACAGAGCTCCAAATTCTTTCTTTATTTTGGGATTTTTTCACACTGATACTCCCTCTTTTAATATCTCAAAACTCTATCTAAACCCATCTATCTTAAAACTCACTACTCATAACGTTTAGGAACAGTACAGTCTATTTCTAACAATGTATTAAAGAATATTTACAATTAATTTTTCTACTTCCTTACCTGCTGAGTAACTGATTCCGTTCTTACGTCTCCAAGAACTTGATGGTTTAACCCCAAAAGCCATTTCCTCTTGTCACTGAAGTCAGTTGGTATTTGGTCTTTAATTCAAATGACCCCTGAATTTCCCTGAACTAATGATGTTACTGTTTTTCCTTGGAAATAAAATGTTTGTTGATTTACAGGTACATCTTTTGTGATTTTATGCATCAGTAGCATGGAGATTGCCTTGGGGTATCCTATTCTTTAACCTGAGGAAGAATATTACTTTTTAAAAAAGGAAATAGCATGTATCTCTGTGTCTCTAGCATTTCTATTTGCTTGTTCTTTCCATATGGGCAAAAATATGTTTAACACTAGTCATGCATTATAAATGTAGGAAAATCAGGGTGAGTTTTCTTTCTCTTAAGTATTCATAGATTTTTTAAATCCTCTTGCAAGAGAGCACTGAGTTTGAGAACAAATGCTTCTGTTCCTATGGGGCATATTTTCATTTCAGTGCTCATAAGAATTAATTTTCACAGTTCCTCACTTCAGTTCACAAGTCCTTTTATGTTTGTATTTGTCATCCTTATCTTAGTGCAAATTTTTTGTGCTCTTCAATGTCTCTGGAGTTACACAATGGTTCTGTGAGATAATGAATTAGAGTCCTTATCTGCCTTAACTGCTGGTCACTATTGCATGATGGCAAATGTTTTTGTCTGAAATTTGATATCCAGTTGTATTAGATAGCCTTGCAATTTGTTAAGGACATACCTTTCTGAGTTAAATATAAGAATACGAGCAACTATTATTAGTTTAATGATAACTAAGGAAAAAGTACATGTGTTTGGCATTTCAAAATTGTATTTTTAACATTTAACATTCTATACAAAAATACGTATTTTCTATTTTAACAGCTTCATTCAATTTCTCTGTGCAAAATTCTGTAATTTAACCAGCTATGTAGAAAAAAGATGCTATGCAAACATGTGTGGTTATCATATGCTTTGGCTGACACCCTGAATGTCTGAACAAGGGTTGAAGACTCCTTGAAGGCTGAGGGCTTTTGTGTAATGGCTCTGTGGAAAGACAAAATGGCCTGACATCCCAGCTCTGGCATGGAATGAAAGACTTATTTGCATTCTCCTGTGTCTTCCACAGGTTTATTTTACCAACCCCTTAGGTGCAGTCATTTAGGAAGCCTCTGTGGCATTGGGCTCAGCAGTGTGCATGGCCTGTGAGTGCCTTTTGGAAAGGCTTAGGAAAAGGTGAGCTCACTTGTGCCACGGGCTCTTGGTCCGGAAAGGCATTTGTGACTGCAAAAAGGAGGCTCTGGATTCATCCTGCGCCCTTTACAAACATCTGAAACATGTTTGTCTGAATCCTAGAACAGATTCCAGGGGGAGAAATTAGACACAAGGACTAAAAAGAAAATAGAGAGTTGACAAAAACTGAGTTTATTCTATAAGGGAAAATTCTACTCAGTGCTGACAATTAGTTAGCTCTCAGAGGAAGAAAGGCTAAAACACGTCTATATTCTGATAGCCTAATAATTTTGTAAAAGATTCTGTACTACATGGAGCATGTCTTTTGGTTACATGGGGGAAGTATGTACTCATAGGAAAGTTTGTTTGCCCAGAATTTGTGGATTTAATACAATATATTTCAATGAGTTTTTTAAAATGTGTATTTATTATCTGAAATTATGTGCAAGAATAAAGTCAGACACACATTTTTTAATCTTTACACCTTTACCTGATTTAATGAACTTCTGTCACCAACTCTTCATTTGGTTCACTCTCCCTTAAAGAGGCCTGGCTGGTGTTTTGGCATGGAGATCCTATGGTTTAGGATGACAAATATCATGTCATGTCTTTTCCCTGTTTGTCTTTGCAGGTGTAAACCAAGATTTGGGTAATGTGTTAAGTGATGACTATGACAAAAGGTGCATTAAAAATGTGACATGTTTTGCATTTCAGTTGCAGGCAAAACATGATTCTTTCTTGCCTTTGTTTGTATAAGCTGACTGGAGCAGTAGTCCCTCAGACATGTCCAGCAGTGACAAAAATAGCTGCAGATACCGAGGAATGGGTGAGTTACCAGACGAGAGAGCAGGTACCACAGGATTGACAGAACAATGTACTTGTAAGCACATGGTGTTCAGTGCACATGAAGAATAACTATAGCTTCCTCATGAGGGAACTGGAGTGGGCTGACAGTGCAAGGAAAATAAGAATTGCAGCAATTCATAGCTCTGTTGTTATTTGTCCCCTTAGAGCATCTAAGGAACCTATTTATTCTTCACATCCCTTAAATCTCTAATTAGTGCAAATGAATCAACATTCCATGCATATTTTATTAATCTTGTATTTTCTGATCAAGTTACACTCATTGCTTTCCTTCATCATTTGTGTTTTGAAGGCTTCATGCATCCTTGCCAGGTGATTTACATTCCTCTCTGAAAGTAACTGCAGTGAATGGTCCAAATAGTTGCTGCTAAAGCTGAGAAATTTAAATCAAGCCTGATAGACTGATTTCAAGAGCACTGAGTTCAATCAAGCTGAGAAAAATCAAGCCTAAGAAGTATATACTTATATATATATGGGAAAATATCCTTTTTTTTGTAGTATATAAGCAGTGATTAGAGATTCCAGTTTCTGGACAAAACAACACTTTAAAAAATTACTAACCTAGATGCATGAATAATCAGAAGTAATGGGGAATATCTCATTTATGGACAAACCCACTCTTCTGTCTTTGCATTCCTGGCTAACATACAAGCCATAGCTACCGCTTGGGCATTTGTTGCAGATAAGTAGGATCCAGCTATGGAATGCTCATAGGCATTTAGTTATTAACATTGCCTCATAATCCACGTGGAGATGAACAGACTTGCATAGGAATAAGAACAAAACAGCATCAAGGGGTGATTCTTGTAAAGATTTTCTCCACTGCCAGTGATGAAATTAAAAAGTGGATTTGACTGAGGTAATCAGGAGCATGGCGAAACAACCATCCTGAATGGTTGGGCTATCTCTCAGTAAATATTTTCACAAAGCTTTTCAATAGGAATGTCATCACTGCTGGCTTCTTCCTCATGGAGAGAGAATTCCCTGAGAAGTAAATAACATGGGACAACAGCAAAATGAGGCACAGCTGAAACTCCTTGTTGAAATAGTAACTTGCCATGGACACTGATGCTTGACTTGAACTGGTTAAAGAAGTGGCAGAAAAATGGAGCATGCCCTTCACAAGATCTGAAATAGGTCAGCACTGCTGTGTTCAGAGAGGTCATTTCTGCCTGTTATTATGGCTCTGTTCAGGATAGCACACACAGCAGAGGGAATGCTAAGGTAAAAGGAAACACTTCTTAAGCACTGCTCAAGCTGAGTTGGTGGTGTGCTGGGATGCCACTGCTAGTCATGGTTCAGGAAGAGCTCCAAGTACAATCAGGGCTGTGTTTGTTCTGTGCCAGAAGGCTGGCAGTCTCTTCCCAAACACACAAATCATAACTTGCACTTTACCAAACACAATGTGTTTGTTCACCTTTGCAAAATACTTTAGCCCAAAGAATATTCTTTTCAATAATATTATTATTAGATTTGGTATCCCAAACCAGCTTGAATTTCCTGCATCTTATTCTTAGGAAAAAACACACTGAGAATTCCCTGAAACATCCAGACTTACACAAACATCTGTCACAGAACGTTGTGATCCAAATCATTCAGATTTGGCAAAGTTCTAAGCAATAAGCAGTAGAATCTCAGGAGGAGAAGTAGCAGGCATTTTTTATCTTAGCTGGAACTGCAACCTCCATTTATATTTGTAGATTTCCATATGTGAAAGGATCCTTTCCAAACCTATTGCAGATATCCTGCAATGACTTAGACCAGTATTCATTTTACAATACAGCAAGCCCATCAAAAATTTAACTTCTAAACAAACAAAGCTCTGTTTTTCTGCTGCCTTCCCTGTCTTAATCCCCTATTTTCAGAACACTCAAAAAAATCTAGCTATACAATAATTTGGGAGAATTATGCCTTATTCCTGTCACTGTTGAAGGGACAATCCTTTAAAAATTTATTTATCTTAAAGATCAGTGATGTGTAATGTATCATGGCTTTAGTTTTCAGAGCACAGCTAGACTGGGAGGCAACAACAATCCACCGTGTGTGGCGCACGCTGTTGCTCTTCATACAGATACCCTTTGGATGGCTGCTGGTCTGAATTCAAATGGCTACAGAGAAAAGGCACCTGCTTCAAAGATCCATTGCAAATGCTCTTCTACAGGGCTGGAGGGGAGCGGTCGGCAAATATTGTCCTGCTGAGAGTGTTCAGGGACGAATGCTCGGGCTGTCAAATATTAGCCAAAATATCCTGACAACGGCTAAGGCCCGGGAGGCAATAAACCGAGGAATATGGCACGCAATTTCATCCCAGGGCTCCTGCAGAGAGGTTTGTTTTTGACAAACTCATGTTTTCCTGCCGAAAACAGCCCTGCCTGGCTGCGCTCGTTAGGGATTTGCGGTCTGGCAGGAGACCGCTCGTTCCTCAGCGACCTGCGGAGGCTGGAGTTCCCCTCCCGGCCGCTCGCGCCATTGCCCAAGCGCTGTGGCAATCCTCAGGCAGCTCCAAAGCACTCAAACATGACTGCCTGTGAGGGACGGAAAAGGACAATGTATTCCCTGCAGCACAGCGGGTCCAGCTGGGCCTCCCCCAGAGGGAATATCAGGGGGGAAAGTTCTGGCAGGCGGCAGAGAGCCCGGCCCTGGCAGAGGCTGCCGGGCGCTCCGGGAGCGCTGCCAGCGCCGGAGGCGGCCTGAGCCTGGGCCTGGGCACAAACAGCTCCTTCATCCAGCGGGAGCGGAGCCGGGCCCCGGCAGTGCCCCGGGACAGGGGAGCGGCGGCCCCCGCGCTGCCCGGAACGCCGGCTCTTCCAGGCGGGACCGGGCCTCCTCCTCACCAGGTATCGCCTGCTCTCCCCGCTTGGGTTGTTTCCAGACCGTACTTACAGGTGAAGAAGTAAATGTTGGATGCCGGAGCCCTTTTGCTGCCGAGGGCCGGGAGGCGCCCGCAGTGGCTGCGTGGGGAATTCCCGCGGGCAGATCCCATCTCCCGCAGCCGGGCAGGGAGGGCTCAGCCCACACACCGGGCGGGAGGGGTGAACCGCAGGGCTTAGCTGGGGGGAAGGCCCGGGATCGCAGCTGCTCCCGTTTCCCTCTTCCCCGCCCTGAGCGGCGACATGCCGGCCCTGGAGGGGCAAGGATCGCAGAGAGGGTTGATTTCCTCTCCCTTTTGGGAGGAAAGCAAGAGCATCGGTGTGTGAGCATCGCTCATGGTGAAGGCGGCTCTTGCAGGTGGCTGATGGAGGACCATCCCTTCGCAGGTGTGTCCCATGCTTGCAAACCAGCCACCTGAAGGAGGAGCTGAGGCCTCCCGCGGTCCCCTGTGGCAGTGGCTGTCTGTGAGCACCTGTGAGTCCTGCTTTCTGCCAGCGGTGCTGTGTGTGCAGAAAGGCTGAGGGGATCCCGAGGAGCCTCTAGAGTCCTTTGTTCGGTGAGGAAAGGTCATCCTCGCCTTCCTCCTGCAGCACTTCCTAAATGTACGTCTGACAGGGCAGCCCAAAGAGCAGAAAGGGGGGACCTGGCCAGGGTCAAAAGGCCAAAATCAGGAGCTTCTTTGCAGCAATCGCCCAAGAATGAATCAGTCTTTGCCCAGAAAAATCCCTCTCTGGGGTCATGTGAAAGGAAGTAACACCAAGAGTGCTTGTAAACTGGGGAAGTAATAAGACAAAAGTGATCAACAAAAAAAAAAATGAAGTGAAAAAGTATTCCATGGCATGCACTGACAGGGACAGTGGTACAGCTGCCCTGGTGGATGAGGAGCCCCTCCAGAAGCTCAGAAAGGCTTGAGCCTTTGCCCCCCAGTACCAGAGGCTTCACATGATTCAAAACAGTGTTTCAGCACTTACTAATGATGAGAGTCAGTTAAAAAAAAAAAAAAACCAACAAACTAAGCCCTTCAAATATAACAGGTTTTTGGTTTTCTTTAGTTACTTCCTGTTCTAACTTTTCTGGTCAACAGTTCAGCTGGGCTTTTTCCACTGTTTATTTGGGTGTGTAAATATGCTTATTTTGGTAGGCCAGCCGGATTGCGACACAAGCTAAGAGCGTCCAGCCTGCTGTGTCTGTGGGCTGCAGCTGCAGCTGGCAGTGGATGTGCACGTTCCTCTGTGTGTGTGTGTGTGTGTGTGCTGGGGAGCAGTGTATTTATCCATATTGGCCACGTTACCCACTGCCAGAACAATGTTAGAGCTGAAAGTTAGTGGCACTTAGTGGTGACATACAGCTATTTGAGGCAAGAAAGAATAAAGACCCCCTTGTGTCACATGAGGCTGACATTGTCTCCTCAGCTGTGGGAGTTGGGAGGTGAAGTCATGTCACAAAGTATCTCAGTATTTTTAAAACTAATTCGTTCTGGCCTGGGAGAAGCTGGGGCATGGCAGAGACATAAAACCCGCATTAGGCAACTGATGTCCTCCTTGCTGGAGAGTACAGCTCCAGGTAACTCTCTCTGGCTTCTGTCCTGTTCTTCATACACTATGAAGGGACAGAAAGCTAAACAATACCTGTCACCATTCAACTCCCTCCCCAAGAGCTACTGCAACTGATCTGCTTTTTAAATGCTGATTTTTGCAAAATGCTCAGGCCTGTCTGAGGGGATGAGAAGTGTCAACCCTGCTGGGACTAAGCTGGGCTGCACATCAGCTAAAAATAGTTTCTCCTTCTCTGCCCTCCACCCAGCAAGGTGCAGGCTGTGCTGCCAGGGCAGAGCCATAGGTGGGCCTTGCACTCAAAGCAGGGTCAGTAGCTCTGCAAAGCCCAAGCTGTGCTTGCTCATACAAGCTGTGTGTAGCCTCTGCTTTGCACCCAGCTAGTTTTTGGCATGGAGGGCTGTGCTCCTGGGCTGCAGCAGTAGGTGCAGGAAAAGTGGTGCATTGAACAGGTGCTCGTCATGGTCTTCTGAGCTGCTCTCACTGGCTCCAGCACTGCCAGCAGCCCCTTCCTGCCCTCGCTGGATTTTGCAGCATAGGGATCAGTTGATATCAAACTGGCTCATCTGCAAAAATCCCTTCTGAACTGGGTAGACTTGTGAAACCTGAATCTCCACCAAGCCACAGCTCCCCTTTCTTCCCTGGGGACAGGGAGGTCAGTCAGGAAATTCAATCTCCACCGTGGTCCGAGGGCTTCAGCGAAGGAGAGTTGTGAGGGACAACCGAAAGCACAACTCTGGCAGGTGGATAATGTACCCATTGCATATGTTCCAGGGCAGCTGAAAAAGCAGGGCTGTGTTTTCCATGGACTGCTGGGAGGCTCACTGGGCACTCTGAGAGCCACACGCCATTTCCACAGCTGCCAGTTCTGAGTGAGGAGGTTTATTCATAAAGATGTATTTAGATACCTTTCTCAGAACCAGTTTTCCTCAGTAATTACAGAATTGTTACCCAGCCCCTCAATTTCTTGTTGCTAATATTCTTCCTTGCTTTCTCTTTTCCCTTCCCACAACATTTTTCCGGACTGGGTTTCTGGGTGTCAGTCATGCAAGCCAGCAGTTCTGGTCCAAGGTCCATTTTCCCCCCTGTACTGTATCCTATTCCTCTGCTGTGCAGGCACTTCTGTAATCAGCTTGTAAAAGAAGATGTGCTAATTAACAGAAAGAAACGTTGCCCAGAGAGGAAGAAGACGGGTTGTAACAACCCTTGGCTGTGATGCAGAAGGAATGCAATGACAGGCAACAGTTCCTGCTGCTCTTTCCCTTCTTACATAGCAGAGACATCAAATTTTAAGTAGTGAAACCTCAGGGGTAACTGAGAAGCTGCGTGAACAGTTATGAGCAAGGATCTCATAAATAAACCTGACCTATCATAATTCCAAGTTGTCTGTCTTGCCTAAATTTATGTCAAAGACACCAAAAGCCACAGGAAGATGGTAAATCAGCCTGTCTTTGTAAGTGCAGGCACTGGTTTCCAGTAAAAGTTCTCAGAAAGCAATGTGAGGCTGGATTTCTAGTCACTGATAAGCAAGCCTCATAGGAGAAACCAGAACCATCAGGGCACACAACTGAAGGTCTGTCTCACTCAGCATCCTCTCTGAGAATGAATATTGTGGCTATTCCAGGAAAAAATTAGTCATAGGCAGAAGGGATCTTCCCCCTACATCCTTGGTCAGATTTTGGCAGTAACCTATTGAAGGGGTGCCTGACCCAGCAGGAGCACCCCTACTCACCTGTTCAAAGCTGCAAAAGGATTTATCACCTCTGAGACTGCCTAATCTCTCTCTTCTGGGCCCATTTAGTCCTGGCTTTGAGGAGTTTGCAGGGTGCACAGAGCTGCATGGTTCAGTTCTACTTGGTGCCTTCACCAGTGTAGTGTGAGAGCTGGCCATGGCCAGGAACACAGACTGGCACCTCACTGGAATGGGCGACCAAGTGACTGTCAACCAAGAGCTGTGTGCCACTCCTGAGGACAGCTGCCAGCTCCGAAGCTTGCCCAGGACAGGGGAAAATAGACACTGCACTTCCTGGAGTGGCAATCAGCAGATGAGGAGTGAAGTGGAGCTGCTCCAGGACATAAAGCAAGTTATAAAGTAAAGCAGAGAGAGGCAAAAATACAAGCCCTTGGAGCAGCAAGACTGGCTGGCACCTGGAGACCGCCATGTGCTGCTAAGCAAGCATGGCAGCCTTGGATGCCCATGAATCTGTCCAAGGTAGTGAGTCATGCTGGCAGGTACAAGGACCAAGAATGGATTGGAGACCTCCAGTGTGATTTGCTTCTGCTGACCAGGCAGTGATAGCCCTCACTGCTGGAGATTCCAATATTCAAGTGACCTTTTGGCTTAACAAGCTTAAAAAAAGCCAGTTTCTCCAGAGCTAGGTGCCTTTTGCATCTGACACAATAGAAAACTTGATGGGTGCCTCACTGCCTCAGATTTTATTGAGGAAACCTTCCCCAAACCGGCCCAAGCACTACTGGTGCACATGCAGATCACTCTCTTGTGCTCAGGATGAGGTAGTGGCTGCTTGAAGACTTTTCAAAACTTTCTGTCATATCAAAGGCTGATTTTTTTAAATCATAACCACAGTCTGGGTTGTGCACAGCAGTTGACCTTCAATTAATTGTTGGGAGGGATTATGTTATATGTTGTGGGGGTATTTCATAGCCTGATATTGCCCTGGATGATAGTAATGTGTGATATGTTGTTTCCCAATGCAGGTAGGAACCTCTCTGCTCTGGCTCTGCGTCCTGGAGATGGCCTCACCCAAGGTTGCAGTGGTGGGTGCAGGAGTCATCGGCCTGTCAAAGACTTTTCAAAACTTTTTGTCATATCAAAGGCTGATTTTTTAAATCATAACCAGAGTCCGGGTTGTGCACAGCAGTTGACCTTCAATTAATTGTTGGGAGGGATTATGTTATATGTTGTGGGGGTATTTCATAGCCTGATATTGCCCTGGATGATAGTAATGTGTGATATGTTGTTTCCCAATGCAGGTAGGAACCTCTCTGCTCTGGCTCTGCGTCCTGGAGATGGCCTCACCCAAGGTTGCAGTGGTGGGTGCAGGAGTCATCGGCCTGTCCACAGCACTGTGCATCACAGAGACTTGTCCCAGCTGCTCTGTGACAGTCCTTTCAGACCAGTTCAGCCCCAACACAACAAGTGATGTGGCAGCTGGGATGCTCATCCCTCATATCTACCCAGGTTCGTTTAATTCAGGGCAGCACTGCCCATGCACGCCATGCCATGTACCCAGGTGTGCAGTGGTGCATAGAGGCTCAGGAAATAAGAGTCATGACCTGTGTTCCCTGTCTGTCCCATATCCTTGACACTCATTTGAATGCTTCTCTTCTTTGCATTATTCCTCCCTGCACATTTGGTTTTGTTCACATGCAGACACACCGATCCACAGGCAGAAACAGTGGTTCAAAGAGACCTTCACTTACCTTTTTGCCATCAGCAACTCAGCCGAGGCATCAGAGGCTGGCATTCACCTGGTCTCTGGGTAAGAACAACCCCTGGGGCAGCCTTTGGTACATTTGTGCTGTGTTCTGGAGCAGGCAGACGGGTTTTCTTTGCTAGAATTCAGGGGTATTCCCTTCAAGGAATAGCTTTTATGTCTGTATTCCCAAGAAACTGCATTGTAGCTGCTCACATAGGATGTATTTTTAGGCAACATTCAGGAACAGGTGTGCACAGAAGACCCACTCAAGTCTGACCAGCACCAAATATCTTTTAACAACCCATGTTTTCCACACTGTCACCCACTAGTTGTTTGCAGCAGGGATCATCTCCATAGGGATGGGACTGCAGGATCCTCCAGCTTCAGCAGCTAGGTACAGGGATTCTGCTGGGGGCTGTGTGTGTTGGGGGTGTTTTATGCTGCCTATTAGGTACTGAGAAATTTGCCTCTTAGGAGTATTGAGACTGAGCACTGTAGCTTTATGGATACCCAAGGAATGGTGAACAAGTGTGCAAGTGGCCCCACCAGGTCCAGCCAGGTGTCTGCAGTTGTGGTGGGGACACTGTAGGAGGGCACTCTGTACATACACCATCACTGGAAGAGCTCTTTGTAGTTTATTTACCCTGGTGGGCCACCCTCACGCTCAGCTGTGCTGACCTTCTGCCTGTTTGCCCGGGCAACTGTTGCAGGAGCAGGCAGCAATTTTTCCCCATTGCTGTTAGCCTTGCAGAGCTCCACTGATATGGAGAAAGAGGTTCCTGAGCTCCTGGGTTTGTTCTAAGGTTTCCATGACACATAACATGGCCGAGCAATAGCAGTGAAGTTTCCCATATTTTTCTCTGTCTTTCTAGCTGGCAGGTCTTTAAAAGCACCCCCAAGGAAGAGTTACCTTTCTGGTCAGATACTGTGCTGGGATTTCGACCAATGTCCGAAGCAGAACTCCAAAAGTTCCCGCAGCACCAATTTGGTCAGGCCTTTACAACCCTGAAATGTGACTGCCCATCCTACCTGCTGTGGCTGGAGAAAAGGTAGGGTTTGCTGCAGGCTGGGCATGCAGAGGGGAAACCCTGGCAGAGGGACTGGAGGCAAGACAGGGTTTCCTTGAGAGCCTTAGATTTGGGCAAAACTGGGAAAAGGCTGTTTCTCATTGCGGAAAATGCGACAAGCTCTTGCTTGGGGAGAAGCGCAGGAAATAAATACAGAACTTTTCTGAAATGTGTAAGTCCCTATTTATGCAATGTCCACTTTGTCCCAGCGTGTCTGTACAGTGGGGCTTGGAGTGTGAGCGACCCTGGACATAGGGCCAACATGGGGCCATGCTTGGCCAGCCAGACCTTGAAGGTACATCAGGAACATGCCATGTCCTGAGAAAACATTTGGCTGCTCCACATTTGCCAAACTTCCCAAATAATATCCCTCTGTTTTTGAAGATATATCCAGTCTCTGTGAGAATAAGCACATCTAGGAAGGTGTCTTACTGTGAAGACTTTGCTCTTATGAAGTAGCTGGACCAATTAATCTCAAATTTGTTCAACAATTGGAGTAATTTCTTAAACCATTTGGGTGAAAAAAAAAACCCCAAAATGTTAAACAGCATCATCTTGTAACAAATTTCTTGAAAAAGTTTGCCTGCGTAAGGTGGGTGACACACTCACTCTGAGGAGTTGTGGCTTCAGAGTTCATGCCTGGATTAACATCAAAGTTAGAAAATCTGCCAATTTCCAAATATTTAAGTTTCCCCCAAATACCTCAATTTTGGAGAACCGTAGGGAGAGACAGGATGCCGATCTGAAAGGGTGCTGACACCCTGGGACATACTGGGGTCAGTTTTTAATCCAAATAAGTACCTCTAAAGTGGGCAAATGGGCTGTATCTGCTTGAGAGAAAGAGACAGGCTGCAAGCTGATTTGGGGTTAAGTAAAGAGATGTGTACTGACACCAAAGTACAAATTGCCAGCTCAGCTGCTTACTTGGATGCCTTTCATCACACTGCAAAATGTGAAAAAGCATTTCTTCTTGTAGCAGCCAAGCGGGCTGGGAGTTCTCCTGTGGCACCAGTGCCATGTGAGGTCTGTGCCATCTACTCGGTACATGTGATCTGTCATGTTTCATTGCCTAACTGAAGCAAATTTCTGCTCCAGGACAGCTAAGTTGTACAACCCATTTAGTATCTGCCATGTGATTTCTGCTCTCTCCTTATTTCTCAAAGGATGTAATCTAATGAGATGATCAAGCTCTTTTTTTTTTTTTTTTCTCTTCTCCCTGGTGATGAGAAGTGAGAGAATATTAAACATGTAACTAATTCTCAACCCCCTAGTGACCTGAGCAGTATTTATAGACCATTCCTGGCAATCCACAAGGAAAATTGTTGTTGTGCCCACCTTGCTTGGCCAAAAATAGACTTCAGGAATTTTTTCCTGCTTACTTGCCCAAATTCAGGCGTTTTCAGCAGGTTTTTTCAATGGTGTATTTTTTATGGCGTGGTGACAGGGTCCTAGCAACAACTCTTAGGAGCTCTTCCTGCAAGTTGCCCAGCCACAGCTGCTGCATGACATCTCTCCTGTTCTTTGTAGACAGCTTCAGTGTCCTGCTACATCAGGCCCCAGAGCATCAACTATGCCCTGGATTCTTGGCTCACTTACTGCTTTGTGGGAAACCACTGCTTTCATAGTAGAGTTGATGACTTTGCCAGCTGCTAGAATGTTGCAGAGGATGGGATTTTCCACTCAGTGCATCACAGACCTGTCTCCTGACTTGCTTATCCTAAAACCCCCAGCAAAAAACCCCTACAATGGGATCCAGCTGACAGCATGCAAGGACCAGTGATTTTCCACAGGGAAGAGCTTCAAAATTCAGGCAAGTTCAGGGAAGGATTTGACTTGAAATTGAGTTCAGAAGTGAATCTCAAGAAGAGGTGACTTTCACTGAAGAGCAGACATGTATGTATAGTGCTCTGAGCCATCCTGGGTGATTCCTGGCTGCTGCTCCAGAAGGTTATGGGCACCCTGGGGGTCCTGTGCCACATCTGCCCAGCCTTAGTGCAGATCTTAGGGCTCGGCACATGGCACTAGATGGCTACATAGCTCAGGAGGTGAGTTGGGAATGAATGTGACAACATATAACAGACACATTAAAAGGGGGGTAGGACAATAGCTCTGCCACTAGCATGAGCAAGTTGCTAAGTAAATCTGTTGTTTCCCAGCTTGCTTGGGCTGTTAAAGCTTGATACTGTTACCAAAATGAATCAGACCATGAAGACCTGACTGTTTGCCTAGGGTCTGGTGCCCTAAAACTTCTTCTAAAACTTCTCTAAAACTGCTCAACTTATTGTACTTTTTCCAGCCCAGCCAGGCTAAATACCTCTTACCAAATCACACCAATCACAAAACAGAACCCCCATGGCATTTTCTTTGCTTTTTGTCCTAGCTATTGTTTGGTCTTGATCAGTATGTAAAGGCAAAGGCAAATTATCTCATTAATTAATGTTCACAATAGTTACATAATGGTTTAGGGGTTTCTTTTCTGCCTCACTTTTTGCAGGTTGAAAGCAACTGGCACCCAGATATACACCAGAAAAGTGGCAGACTTGTGGGAGCTGCACAGTGAATATGACATCGTTGTCAACTGCACAGGCATGGGAGCCCACCATCTGGTGGGGGACAAGGAGCTCTTCCCTGTCAGGGGACAAGTGCTCAAGGTTCACGCTCCTTGGGTGACACAATTCATCCGGGATGGAGATGGCTTAACTTACATCTACCCAGGGATACACAGGGTGACCCTGGGGGGAACCAGGGAAAGGGGAAGCTGGAGTCTCTCCCCTGATGCTGGCACTACTAGAGACATCTTTGACAGATGCTGCTCCCTTGAGCCCTCTCTGCAGCGAGCTAAGGATATCGAGGTGAAGGTGGGCCTGAGGCCATCCAGGCAGTGTGTGAGAGTGCAAAGAGAGGTTTTGAGCCAAGGAGGAGTTAAGCTCCCAGTGGTTCACAACTATGGGCATGGGGCAGGTGGCTTTTCAGTGCACTGGGGCACAGCCAAAGAGGCTGCTTCCCTGGTGGAAGAGTGCATTTCTGCTCTGCAGGGCTCCTCATCGAGAGCCAAGCTTTGAATCCCAGAGGCTCCTTTTCCATCTACAGGTAGTGCTGCATCTCCTAGTAGCAACTTGGGCTTTAAGTCCATTACTGTGTAGAAGGAAACTAAGTCAACATCTTGTTCCAATGCAGATACTCAGTGATATCTTTAACCACCTTGGAAAGGCATGATGTGTTGATCCATGTATTAGCCCAGCTGATCATCTCCTTCATCTGCCCTGGGTATTTGTCCTAGTCTCGTGTGGAAAAGACAAGATACACAAATATTCTTCACATAACGGGGATCAGGTTGCTGCATTATAAAACAAATAACATCAATTTAGCATTTCTGCACCTGCATCTAAACGGTGTCAGATGCAGTAAAAATACGTTGTCTCCATTTGTACCAAATCTAATCTAGAATTGCCTTTGTTTCTGCCACCTTGCTAACAAATTTTATCATTGTCTATATGATTTAAAAGGAAAAGAAAACCCCATGCAGTGCTGCATTACAGTGCTCCAGGTCAGCTCTTACAGAAAGTAGCATTAGGTCACGGTCACACACAGTGACCAGGCAAATGTGATTTTAAGAGCAGGTCTGTGATATCCATCACTGCATTTGCTCATATTGCACCTCAGGGAACTTAAAGTTGCTGCTAATATTGCCCCACATGAGCTACAGTTTTGTGCATCTTTTCTCACGCTAGTTTGCAAATCTGTTTTTTTCTTTCAAGGCCCTCAGATTTTGCTCTTAGACACCAGTGATTTCCCCCCAGCCCCTCCCCTCCTCCCCCACACAGCAGCATTCATATGACCTTTGTTATACTGAAGAGGATTTTCCAGAGTGGGCTGGGGAATGCAGCATCCCTTTTCTGCTTCACAACAGCACTGTCTGCTTTCCTTGCAACAGCTGATAGGAATAAATTGGTGACAAACCAACAAGGATTCTAACACCAGCATCAGTTTCATAGAAGAGCTATTTAAGACTAGATAAACACTCTGAGGAAAAAGTTGTAACTGGACATGAGCAAGCTCCTCTGCTGTAAGAAAGCTGAGTTCTCTGCTCGCTCCATGGCAGAAGCTCTGCTGGGCTTTACACTCCCCTCAGCAATTCAAACCCTTTGATGTGTCTGAAGATAATCACTCCCCAAAACTGGATCTTACCATCAAAGTACAGGTCTGACTCTTAGTGATTAAATGACTCATTAAATCTTTAAGGGCTCACTTGAGAGTGTTATCATCCATTTTTTGTCTAGCTTTTTTGTCCACAGAATTACAAAACCATTCAAAATCCTTCAATAATTCCAGTGATTAAAATTAACTGATAAATAAAGTTCTAATAATGGAGCAAAGGTCACTTCTGTAGTGTTTCCTTTCATAAGCAAGGCATTTTCTTTAATTTGGAATGGCTTGACAGGGCCAAGAAAGGCCACATTCAGCTACCAACTCCTGCTGTTCTCAGGAGGATGAGGACAGTTATCATTTGCAAGGAACAGCTGTCAGAAGAAACATCACCAAATTAAATTATGGGCCAATAAGCACCTGGGACCAGCGTAAGCCACCCCTGCCTTTAGCAGGGCTGAAGAAGAATAAGAAAGAGAATCCTCATTTTCTCAGCTCTGAAAGCTAATTTTGCACTCCCCCCTTTGTCCGTCCCCCCTCCCAGTTTGTCCTTTCCAGTGGTATGAGAGGGCAGAGCTGCTGCTTTTGGCAGCAGTGTTGGCGTAGGGCTTGTCAAACTGCAGCTTTGTCCTCAGCTAACACAGAACATAAAAATACATGGAAAAAGAACATAAGAATGGGCTCTTTTTCTTAATCTTTATTTTAAGTTTTAAAATAGCAAACAGTGTAACTTATCCTGGAACAAGAAATGCTACTAATGCTAGTAAGGTGATCATAGTCCCATAAGAAAGGAAAGCTGTGCTTGTGCACTTCTTCTCTGCAGGGTGATGGGGTTTCTTCTAATCTAGTTCTAAAAATTGTCTGGTTGATACAGTGTCAAACAGGTTGGGCTGCAAAGCTTATCCATCTGGTATCCTAGCTCTGCTCATGCCCAGCAGAGAGAACAGCCACTTCTGGTCTACGGTCTTCCTTATCTGAGGGGTAGCTTAGTGTTTCAGATGATTTATCTTCCTCACAGTGGTTGACTTGCTTCTAAAACCAATTATGGTTCTTCTATACTCCCCAATATCTGTAAAGGGAGAAACTGTCCGGGAGCAGAGCTTGTTGCCTTCATCTTTGTCTTGAACCTAAAACCATCATCTGATGGCCCTTTCTTGCATGTTCTGAGAGGTCGTGACTCCATGGCCCATTTGAGTTTATAGAGTTCCACCATACTCTCTCTCAGACTCTTCTTTCCACCTTGAATAATCTTGGTTTACATAATACATAATTGCCTCACTTTCACAAGCCCTGATCCTCATGGGGACATACCTGTTGGAGAAGACAGCACAGTAAAGCATAAGCAATCCAGGAGGTTCCTTCTCCAAGTGATAGAGCAGCCAACAAGGTGAGGTGCTATTATGGACTCTCTTCTTGTCAACAAGGAGGTACTGGTGTCCCAAGTGAAGATATTCCTCAGAGGTCAATATTGGGGCTGGTGCTGTGAAAAATCTTTGCCAGTGACACAGAAGTGGGACTGAGTGCACCCTCAGCAAGTTTGCCAATGACACCAGGCTGTGTGGTGCAGTGGACACACTGGAGGGAAGGGATGTCATCCAGAGGGACCATGGCAGGTTTGAGAGGTGGGATTGTGCAAACCTTATCATGTTCAACAAGGCCAAGTGTAAGGTCCTGCATCTGGGTTGGGGCAATCCCAAATACAAATACAGGTTGGGTGGAGAATGGACTGAGAGCAGCCCTGAGGAGAGAGACCTAGGGGTGTTGCTTGAGGAGAAGTTCAACGTGACCTGGCAATGTGTGCTTGCAGCCCAGGAAGCCAACTGTATCCTTGTCTACATTGAAGCAGAGTGACCAGAAGGTTGAGGAGGGTGATTCTGCCCCTCTGCTCTGCTCTTGTGAGACCCCACCTCAAGTGCTGCATCCAGCTCTGGGGACCCCAACATAAGAAGAATATGCACCTGCTGGAGGGAGTCCAGAGGAGATTATGAAGATGATCAGAGGGCTGGAGAACCTCTCCCTATGTATGTAGGTTGAAAGAGCTAGGGTTGTTCAGCCTGGAGAGGAGACAACTCTGGAGAGACCTTAAAGCACCTCCCAGTACCTAAAGGGGGCTAACAAGAGAGTTAGAGACTTTTTGCAAGGGTATGTAGTAACAGGACAAGGAGGAATGGCTTTAAAATGGAAGAGGGTGGATTTAGATTAGAAAAATTTCTTCACTGTGAGGGTGGTGAGGCCCTGGCACAGGTTGTCTAGAGATGTGTGTGCCTTATACCTGGAAGCATCCAAGACCAAGTTAAATGGGGCTTTAAGCAACCTGGTCTAATAGAAGGTGCACTTGCCCATGCCAGGGGGTGGAACTAGATGATCTTTAATGTCCCTTCCAACCCAAACCGTTCCATAATTCTATGACCCCTCTTCCCTTCAAAATATATTAAAATGCTTTATAGTAATTAATAAGCATTTAAGTGACAACCAGATACCTGTCCTGAGTAGTACTAGGTGTTTCAGAGACCATGGCTGTGGCTGGGTAGTGAGGTAGTCTTCCTCCCAGCTCAGCCAGGTGTTTTTCTCTGCTGTTAGCTATACTGATTTTCACCTGCCGTTACTTTGTGCGAACTCATGAGATGGTTTTTGCAACTCCTTTAGGCAGTTTGCATTTTACTGCCTTCAACAAACTGGTACCACCAGCAGCTCAGCCATTTGCCTGACTGATGGGTCTGTGGATGAACGCTGGCCCTACCGCGATCCCTCTAAGATGCAATTGGCAGCTTCTCTCCGCTGTGAAGAATGGATGATTTATCCTTACCTTGTCTCTCTATCCTGTATGCAGCTGCTGACTCATGAGAGGATCTTCCCTCTTACCATGCCAGATTAGCTTCTTAATGGGTCCTTGGTGACAGATGTTGTTAAAGGCTTTCCAGAAGCTGAGCAGATCATAGTGAGCGGATTGCTCTCATCTGCAGCTTCACAGTTTCCTCTGAAGCCGTCAGAGGGTGGTGCAGCACAGCTTCATAGGCTCTCACTGCAAAGCTCTGCCAATTCTCCCCTCTTGCTCTGTGTCTCTCCTTGCAACTATTCTGTTACTATGGCTTTTGCTGTTTGCCTGCCACAGGTGTCAGATTTAATGGCTTGCATTTCTCTAGATCCCTTAGAGTGCTTAAAAGAAAACAGTATCACTTGCCGTCCTTTTTCTTCAGCTGTTTTAAGTAAAAGCTTATACACTAGCTCTTATAGTGCAATCATTTCCATTAGCATTCCTTAAAAACCCACAAGCAAGTAACATCTGCTTTTCAGGAATTTGCTACTATCCCTTGCATTTATTTGTTCTAAAGCCTCATCTAACAACCCTTCAATCTGAGGCAGCTTCCCTGTATTATCCCTTTAACAAATGGTTCTGCCATGAGCATTTCACTAAGCTTTTCTGCGCTGAACACAGACACAAGTAATCTGTTTAGCTCTTGCATTAGGACGTGTTTCCTCTCAAACTCCTTTTCCACCTTGATCATCTGCTGACTGCACACCCTGGTCACCTCCAGCAAAACTCTCCAGCAGGCTCCCAAGTCCTGCTGGGATAGAGGTGTTTTTTTGTCTAGTAGCAAGTTTCCTCAAAATATTTTTTTAGTCTTCCTTTATGTTTCTGCTTTTAATTTGACAGAGTTCATGTCCTTTTCCTGTTTGGAGGGGATCTATTTTGGTTCTTTCCCATGCAATTTTTATCATGCTATTACAATGACCCAGTAATTATCTTCCTTCTGGAATATGTCTGATATTTCTGACTTGTGATTATAAAGAGGTCAAAATGGCACCTTTAAACAAAGTTCACCATGATTCTCTGCTCCTCTCTTCCTCCTCACTTCCCCAGTTTCTAGCTTGAAATTATTTTTTAAATCTTACTCCTTCTCACAGTGGTTCTCTCCCTGGTTAAAGTCATGCCACACAAAGATTGAGCATTCTATTCAGAAACCTCATCTTTTTGTTCCAGAAGCTTTCAATTTGCCAATAATATACCCTAATATTTTGGGAATAACTGAACATTCTTCTGTTATGCTTCCCTGGGCATTGAAAATTTAAATAATCTAAAATATATCCTGGATACATAGTCACTGCTGCCCTGTGCCAGCTGTACACCTGCCCACAAAGGGGAGTCACACTATTTCAGAGCCTTCAGGCCAGCTCACTGACACTGACTGCTTTCAGGCAGCTGAAGTTTGTTGAGATGAGTCCTGTCTTGCTTCAGCTGCCCAGCCCCAGGTGTTGGTCTCCAGCAGTATCTCATCAGCCATCCCTGAGTTTCTGCTCCTCACCCAAGACTCGTGCCAGGAGCAGAAGCAAAGCTGCGGCCTCTGTTGCCTCTCCAGCTCCAGCTGAAGCTGAGCCAGCAGTTGAGGAATTTTCAAAACTCTGTTTTGATCTTAAAATCTGTCTCTGCTGCTGCATCAGCTCTGTAGATTTCATCTGGAATCACAGAACAAGTGTCAGAGAAACACTCACATGTGGGAGAGCATTAACAGTGGAAGGTTCATTAAACCTCCCTGACCTGCCTGTGCTGATGAAAGGTATCCTGAAAGAAAGACTTAGCTGTCACCTGGGCAAAGCATTTTATCCCTGTGCTGTTCCTTAAGCCCATACATGTCTGGACATAAGTTATCCAAACTGTTCTTGAGTATTTCCTTCTTATCCACACTTTCTGATCTACATTGAAGAGGCACCCTTAGCAGATGGCAACCAATCTGTCACACTCACATGGAACTTCAAAGGTGTAATTGTGGTATAGAAAGAGAACGATTATATTTTGAGACATTTTTATCAATCCTTGTGATTCCAGAGAGCAGATGGGATGTGTGATGGATTTTAGAGCGTTAGCACAAAATAATAGTTTTCTGCAACAGAGAATTTTGTTGATTTTCCTCACAGAAACAATGCCATGAAGTCATCTTATCTTGATATAGGCTTTTGACTCTGCTTAAAACAAATTTCTGGAAAATACAGGAAAATTGGCATTCACCATTCATTACCATTCTCTTCCAGTCAAGGACTATTTGAGATAAACTGCAAATTCATTAGGAATAAATGTAGCAATTAGAGATAACATCATGGACTGGACCGAGATTTTTATTGTTTTCACAGCAATCAAGTGGCTATTGTTACGTTGTCTGCTGCTGTAGTCTGTCCTGCTCTTTTCCCTACTTTCCACCAGAGGGAGATATTGGATCAAGCAGTTGCTGAAAAA